TACTTCCTTTTTTTTTTTTTTTTCCCCCTTGCACTTTTTGCATCACTCCAAGAGAGTAAAGAAGTCCTAAAAGGGAAAGAAACACATTCTTTCTTTAGAGCACTATAACAGCAGAAATAGTTTGCTGTGAAACAGAGCTGGTGTCTCACTTGGGGAGGCTTTTGAGTGGGATCCATTTCATATGACTTCAGCTTCTTGGGCTCTCTTTTTGGTGAGTGGAAAGAAATAGGGAGTTTGAGGGCACAGTTCACCTGGCTTGTTTTCGTGTCTATTTTAGGATAAGCTAAATCACTCCCTAGCAGTTCCCATTCCTCTGCAGAAGCTGTGAAGGCACCCTAGACTGATGACTCAGCCAGCCATAATATGCCTAACACTGGTTGAAAATACTTTCATTCCTTTTCATGTGGTCAATCGTAGGATCAGCCTTGGATTCAACTGTAGCTATCTATGCCATGTGAAGCGTAGAAGTTTGCAAAAAGTTTGTCCACTTATAGTGTTGTCGATCGTATCAGCTACCCCAAATCATGAAAATAGTGTAAGATTCGTGTAATTATATAAAATAGTGCTATCATCTTTTTTTCTACTTTTTCTTCAGCCTTCGGAGTTTTTCGTATATTCTTGTCATGCTTTCCACTCTTACATTTCATCTTAAAGCCTAGACGAAAGTAATATTTTAAGATGAGGGCAAAGAATCTTGTAACTATTTGACTCTGGGAGCTGAGTACAAACTCAGCAGCCATTTCTGTGCCACATATATTCCAATACAAAATAATTATCCATAAATAAGATCTGTTAGGACACTGTAGTATTTTGCTATGAGTCAGATATGGGAGTATACTTCAGTTTTACAACTGCAGTATTATTGGCTGTTATGATATTGCAGTAAGATATATTTGCTATGGTTGAACCCAAGACATGAGGTGTGGTAAACTGATTGCAATCTCAGTCAGATCCAGTGTTGCAAATACCTTCAAGGACAAAACTAGATGCTCCAGTTTTCCACTGGTTTCAAGGTGTTTGTCCTACTGTTTGGACTGCAAACATGTCTTCTTTAGGCAGTATTCCCCATTTAGATGAGTGTAAAAATGCTGTTAAAGCTGATGGCACTCAGCACTTGTTTCACCTGACGTGGGTGATCAACTTATTGTGAAAGAACAAAAAAAGCTCTTATACTTTGCTCCACTGTTTAGACAGGAGTTTAATCAGGAAATGTAGAAACTCGTATTGAGTAGAGACCTGAGGGCAAGAGGTGAGGTTGCAAGAGGTGAAGTATCCCTTTGGCTGAAGGACAAATGCTGTGAGAACCTGAGATCTGTCTCTGGACAGCTTATATAGGCTACTCCTACTGATTTAGTAGATCCAGAGATCTAATGATCTCTTTCAAGCTGCAAGTTCCACTCTGAATATAGCTCTTACCCATCTTCTTTATTGTGTATTTATCATCACACTGAGGAGAAATTCCAATAGCAAACTAAATTTTATTTGCCTCTATCCTCATGCCACTGTTCAAAGAGCTTGCTGCTACAGTTTTTCAAGTCCAGACCTGAACCTATGACTGATTATACAGTGAATCATCTGATATGGGGTTTGGTCACAGCCTGACCCTGGAGAGGCACCTCACAAAGGGAAATGGAGGTTTTCAAAAAAGAAGAAAACGACTTAAAAGTGAGGAAAGTCTCAGAAGAGAAGGAAGATAAAAGCATTACAAAACCAACTGTAGCTGCTTAGGAAGTGTCAAAGGGGTAGATGCTTTACTCCAGGTTCATAACAAGTGTACCGGTGTCTTTTTCCTACCAAAATATGGGTCTTCCTTTTTGATTTCTTTCATGGCACAGCAGGCAAAGTCAGCATGTCATTACAGTTCCCCTGTCGTGGTGGGGAGCTGTATGTGCTGTGTGAGAGGCTCCCACCCTGTGCTGCACCCAGGCTAAGCACTGATAATCCTCTTCTAATCTGTAAAGAGGGGCAGTAAGCGAATGCGGTTTTACAATTTCTTTACTGGGAAAAGCTTTTGAGCTGTTTGTGGCACAGGCTTTGCTGTTGGGAGGACATAGCTGATCATCTGGACAGTTAGTGGAGGGGTAATGGGAGTAATTTCACATGCAGCCAAATAGCAGCAATATTTCTCATGCCACTGCTGTCATTCATAAACCTCTGCAATTATCTGCATGACCCTTCATATCTCTAGGTACAACTGCAAACATAATCTGTGCCATAATTGTGGCTTTCCCCTGTTTCTCCAAGACATATAAAAAAGCACTGTGTACCCAGGAAATAAGAAATCATCAACTGATACAGAAGATTTAACCTGAAAAATCTGTCACTTAATAGAAACTGCTTGTATGCTTTTAAACTTACATGACATATTTTCAGTTCAGATGCCATTAAATATAGACATGAAACATGCAGGAGTTGTAGTAAATTCAGATCCTGAATTTCTGTTCAGCAGCCATATTTACCATGTTGGAAACCCACTAGGAAATGTATTTATCTTTGACATAATTTTCTATTTACAATCTTAGAAAAGGAGCATCTATCAGGTCCTAGGAAAGTCTATTTTTGCTTTTTCCAAAAAGAACAGTAAACATATGAAATGTAGGTAGATTCTTCAAGGTTCAGGAGGAACTAGGATCTTACCAGAACTTGCTTGTGGTTAATGTTCAATAGGTATATTTAAAAAAAAATAATTAAAAATAATGCCAGAAGTTTTGGCAAATTTCTTCAGCATCCACAGCCATAAGTATAAAATTATAATGAAAAGAGGTTTCAGATCTAAATCACATCTATCTTCAACCGTTTAAATTTTCTAGACTGAACAAGTAACTCAGCTGTGCTGTTCTTACACGTCCCAAGGATGGAGGCTGGAAAAGAGTCCAGAGATGCTATGGACCCCTGTGCCCCTAGACAGGTCTGGGGTCCTCTGAGAGCCTGGGACTGTGCGCCACTCCGAGAGTCGCTCTAGGGCATTGCTGGCGTAGACCTCCACCTGCCCAAAATTCAAGAGTGCTCTGAAGGAAAGTGGGGAGGTGAAGAGCGAGCGGGCCACTTGTGCTTGCAAAGTCTTTGCACGCTGGCCTTTTATGGAGGGCCAGGGTGTGAATGCTCACGCTTGCTTTCTATATTATTACTACCCTAGCACAGTTTCCCTCAGACGTCTTTGACTGATGCCCTAAGCATCTCACAGGCAACAGTGCCACAGCTCAAGCCTTCTTTAATGAGTATCTATTGTGCATGAAGATTTATAGTCGTGTAGTTTTTCATGCAAAATGCTGTTTCTGAACTCCGATTATAATAAACTTAGTGTACTGCAATTGCATGGTCTGATTACAGACTTATCTCTTCAAATCCTGCGTCATCTGCGATTCTCTTATTACCCTTAATGGCCCTTTTCATACATTTTTATATTGCCCTTTAAACATTTCTCATGATTCATCTGTGGCTATGGCATCCCTCCATAAAGACACTCACATTTCTTAACTTACTTATTTGTTGAGTGCTTCAGATCTAAACCATACCACACAGTTGTTTCTCCCCATCCTTACAAAATCTGTATTTCATGAGTGAAATTATTTTTAGGAACATTCTCAGATTCAGAGTGGATATTGCGAAATAAGCTAGTCAGTCAGCCAATCTCCTAGACTTAGAAAAAAGAGTATTACTGCAGAAAGGAGCCTAGAAAGTCAGAAGCAGGTATAGAACCACTCATAGACGTGGGAATGGTTATGTCTGTTTAAATGCAATTAGTGAAAGTGAATGGAGAGATTACAACATCACACCTTCGTTAAAAGCTGATTGAGAGAGAACTCAGAGAAAGTTGTTTTCAATATAGACTTTTTATTTTTTTCTGGATCCTACAAAAGCCGGGCTCTAAGTTACATCTTTTTGTCACCATCTACAGGTGTGTTATATACTACCACTTTCCACCTTTTTTTTCAGATACAGACAGCAGAATTGAAGAATGTGAACTGACAGTGAGGTCTAAAAAATGGGCTTGGGACAAGGGGGCTTCATAAATCAGTGCAGTCCAGCATGTCCCTAATCTCTCTTATTTAAATCCTTTGTGCTCACCTGCAAAATAAAGCTTCTTTTTTTATGACGACCCGGGGGAAACTCTGTCTGACCCTCATCCACTCCATGGAATGATACCTTTATTTTCCCCTCAGGATTCCTAGTTTGAGGAGCACAAAAGAGAACAAACAAGGCATAAACCAAAACCAATGAAACAGGTTTATTGCCTTGTCTTTTGGGACCAGCCTAGCTCCTGTTGCCGAGAGGCATCCCGAATCTGACGCCAGAACCGTGATTGCTGTGCTGGGGCTCACAATGCTACTGGAAACCTGCACAGCAGAATGTTTTATGCACCACAGTGCTCAAGTTCCTGGGATCCTGATTTGGTGAGGAAGAGGAAAAGGTTCTGAAGTAGACACCAAGAGGGAGAAAATGGCGGCAGATTCCTTACTGCTCCTCTGCAGCGACAACACAGACCCATCCCTTTATTCCTGTTGAGTGTCTGGAGTGGGAGGGTGAACACAACTGAATGAATGTTGGCAATGATCAGCGGGCAACGAAAGAGTAAAGCCGTAATGTAAAAGCATTAAGAAATGCAATCCTTTCCATCTCGTAAAGCAGGTCTGTAAATCACTTCCCTTTCTCTTGAAACTATGACTTCTGCTGCATTATGTTTACTTTTGAGGCGTAGGACAAGACTAACAGGACTGTAGGAAAGCATAAATCACAAAGACGCAGTCAGAGTCTGGAGACGCAGCGATAACACCTGGTAGTGCTTCCCCAATGCTCTGGTTAATATTTACCAGTGGTATAGGAACTATTTAAATAATTGTCGATGCCTTGGTCACAATTTTTGCTTTTAGTAGCAGAGCATGGTGTATTTGATGCAGTCTTAGAGGTTTTCTGAAGACACAGAAACAACTTTTATATCGAGGTCAAACTCTTAGGAAAACTTCTTCTGCAGTTCTCGTTTTTGCCTCAGCTTGTTGAAAATGGCGGGTGTAAGCAGTTGCATGAAGTACTCCATGTTCATCTTCAACTTTGTATTTTGGGTAAGTTGATGTTTAAATTGTTATTGGGGATGCATGAAACGTGTTCAACATTATCTGGATGCTGTAGTTGAAGAAATTCTGAAGAAAATAGAGCATAAGTGGAACCACAGTACAATTCTAAATCAGGGAGGGGAGAATATGCTTAACTTTTGCCCTTCCCTTGGTCTTTTTCCTTCAAAATACCTTTCCCTAACAAAAGTAGACCAGCCAGGAGTCTGTCTCCCTGCCCATATCTTGCTCCTCTTGTTAAGGGACATCATTCATTTCAGTTAGAAGATAACAGACTCTCCACTTAACAATGCATCAATCTCTTGCTTTTATTGTCTACTGCTTGCGTCCAGAAGGCAAAAGCCTGAAAATGTAGCTGCAATGGAAGATATGGAAAATTTGTTTGTGTGTTTAGCCTCCTAATTGATTAACAGATTTCATATTCTTCTTTGTGTTTCTTTGCCTTACATTTAGTGTCATAATTAGTTTCTGATGGTGGACAGTAAAGATTTGTGAAATGGTACGGGCTGACAGTGCTGCCAATAGCTGTATCAAGGCAGATACGGCACAGGGCAGCAGGCAGGTTTCTGGGTGTTGTTTGAACCGTACTTGGCTCTTTATCACAACTCAGCTGGTTTGCAAGACTTTCAGGTCCCGGAAACTGGAAAGGTTAGAGTTAAAGAACTTTTCTCTCATGATTCAACCTCACTGTCAGCTTTCCCGACAGAGATTTGTCAGGTTCACCAGAGGTTCACTGAAACCAGAAGTGGAACTACTAGCCACATTATGAGCTTTGCCTCAAGGGACTTTTTTTCAATTGAAAAGGTGATACCAATCAAAAGGGACCACAAACAGTAGCCTTGGAAAATTTGTGGCTAGCCAAAATGAGAAGAACTAGCAAAATTCTTTGGTCGTTTGTGGACCTCACAAAGAAATTCCTAACAGGCCAGTGATGGTTTGGACTGCTTCCCCTTCTTCTTCCTCCACCTCCATCAAGGCAGATGGAGGATATTTAACATCTGTGCTGAAGTTTTTCTGCAACGGTACTTAAAAGAGTCCATAAATTTCTGACTTGGAATTCCTGCCCCTCAGGAAGTTTTTCCTGTTTGCATTCATCTGTATTTACTCTAAGCTAAAACATAGGCAAATGTCTCAGACTAGCATTAAATAAGCTCCAAACTACTTCTGGAGGGAACACATGAATAATGCCCCTGCCTAAGCCTCCAGTGACAGCATTCCTTTCCTAGGGAAAAACACAGAATGCCATCCTGAGGGAGGGTGAGTCTTCAAAGCTCAGGAAACAAGCAGGTGTGAAACAAACTTCCCATACCTGTCTTTATGCCAAAGGTTGGAAAATCCATACTGTGTTCTAGGGAAGAATATTTGCTAGAGCAAATATTTCTAGAGCATTTGCTGTGCATGTGACTGCCTGGGTGGGACAGAGGAGGACAGGAATGCAGCTATAGTTACTTATTTTAAAGGAAGGGCTTTAGCACTACCAAGATAGAGGAGAACAAATGTGGTGCAAACAGGAATATGGGCCAACAGAGTATGATGAAGCTGAATTCTTTGATTAGCATTCTCTAATTCCTGGAAATCATTAAATTGCTGTATAGAGAACAGAGATGTCTTTATGGCCACTGGTCGCACAGCTGCTTTCCCTGGTGCACAAGACTGTTGGCAAGTGGAAAGTTAAACTGATAGTGGGAAATGAAGGTGACTTTAACCTTAACTAGGTTAGAGCGATGGCTGCGTATTTACCTGATGTCCTTTCATTTTAAGCCCTTTGCAATCTCTCTGGGAGTGTCCCCTCTTAGGGGACTTGAGAATGGCTTTCCAGCATTCTGGTGCCGTTTTTGAAGCAACCCTTACAGCATAGCACAAAGTGTGTAAGCCCTGGCATAGTCTAAGCTAGCTCTGCAAAGTGTCTCTGGCTTCACTACATGACATGTGCCTCCTGGGAATCCACAACCTCACAAGTCCCATGCTGGGCTCCAACATGTCCATAGAATTTTGCATCCTCCCAGTTTGGCAAAAGAAAGCTGAGCATGGGCTTTTGGAGACCTGTGCTTTGGACCTGGATGTCAATGCCATACGGAGCATTTAATAGTCTTTAAATTAATCCTTAAGTCAGTTTTGTGCATTAAACCTGATGTGTAGGTCAGATTTTTCCTCTTTCCTTTCTTCAGAGTTTGCAGGATATCCAATCTCACCTGCTGCCCTTGTTCTGTCACCTTCTGCTACTCCACATCATGCCAAATTGTAGAATTATCTTTTTTTTTCCACTAAGTATTGATGTCTGATCCTAGTTTGAGGCAAACCAGAGCAATCTTTGATCAGCTGTTGATAGCAGACTTGCAGTCCCATCTACAACCAAAAAGTGGCTCCTTCCTCATACCTTGCATCTGAACAGAGCATCATAGAATAGTTTGAGTTGTAAGGGACCTTTAAAGGTTATCTAGTCCAACCTCCTTGCAGTAAGCAGGGACATCTTCAACTAGATCAGGTTGCTTAGAGCCTCATCCAACCTGATCTTGAATGTTTCCAGGGATGGGACATCTACCACCTCTCTGGGCAACCTGTTCTAGAGTTTCATCACTCTCATTGTAAAAAAAATTCTTCCTTATATCTAGTCTAAACCTACTCTCTTTTAGTTTAAAACCATTAACCCTTGTCCTATTGCAACAGGCCCTATTAAACAGTTTTCCCTGATCTTTCTTGTAGGCCCCCTTTAGGTACTGGAAGGCTGCTAGAAGGTCTCCTCAGAGCCTTCTCTTCTCTAGGCTGAGCAATCCCAACTCTCTCAGCCTGTCTTCATAGCAGAGGTGCTCCAGCCCTCTGATCATCTTTGTGGCCCTCCAACAGATCCATGTCTTTCTTATGTTGGGGGCCCCAGAGCTGAACACAGTACTGCAGGTGGGGTCTCACGAGAGCAGAGTAGAGGGGGAGAATCACCTCCCTCGACCTGCTGGCCACACTTCTTTTGATGCAGCCGAGGATACGGTTGGCTTTCTGGGCTGCAAGCGTGCATTGTCAGCTCATGTTGAGCTTTTCATCCACTGAACATCTCAATCCCTGAAATTAGCAATGCAAACAGAGCAAGTATGCTGAGCCGTAGACCACATTCTCTGTAGGACATTCTTAGCACTGTTAATTTCAGGTATCTCAAGGAAGTATTCCAGTCAAATATTTTCCTGCACAAGAGAAACCTTTTAGAAAACTCCTCCTGATACCCTTAAACTGGCTGCTTAAAAAGTGGTTGTCAATGGAGGGAATTCCCCATAGGTACGGTGTTCCCTTGTCTGAGAAGTGCAGAGTCTTGATATACTGCTGGTCCAGAGTCATGGCAGGCTCATCTGAGGTGATAATAAATTAACCAGGCTGTATTTCATCATCACACCAAGACTGAAGGGCTCAAGAAGAGAAAGACTGATTGAATATGAGGGACAAGAGTCCTCTTCCTTGTCAGTTTATGAGACCCTGACTGATTCTTGGTCAAGGGTTGAGGTAAGACTATGATAGCCATCTAGTTTTGGGAAAATGAGCGAGGACCTTTCCAAAGCAGCTCTTTTTATTCCATTGAAAAATACTGATTCATTAAAAATGAAATTTCCTGAGATGAAAGTTTCTTTAGTAGAAACTTTATTTTAAGAAAACTTAATAATTAGGATGGAGTATTCCAGCAAACTTGAAATGTTCTACTTGGACTCTCTGGGAACAGATCATTTTGATTTGTTATTTCGAAACTTTTCTTTGTGTGTTCTTGTACATTTTGTATATTATGAAAATAAACAGAAACAAAGCACTAAGATTTTACTTAAATTGAATATTTTTATTAGCCTAAACCAACTATATTTTTAAAATTAAAATATAAACAACTGACTAAAAATTTTGATTTATAAAGGATGTTTCTTTTTTCGAATGAAGGAAATAAATACTATAGCATTCCCATCTGATTGGTAAGTTCCTGTACATTCAGCTATATTTACTTCTACTACTGTCCTGTACTTTTATGGGAGATCCTGTATAATAAATAAGGCAGTGGGCCAAATTCTGTTTGAATTTGCAGTAATAACTGTTTCAGCGGAAATTTTCGCATTAGCGAGCCCGTGTTGTCTGGTGCAGAGCCACATGGCTCACATAGTACTACTGAACAAGACTCAAATTTGAAGTCGTATGATACTATCAGTTTCTAGGCAGGTTCAGTGGGATTCAGAAGGTTTCAGTGGGGAGTTCTAGTTAAATTTGATAACATGATATAGCTGTCATCGATTGTACAACTTTCCTCTTCATGTTTAAAATGTACTTATAGGAGCTTTACTTATAGCAGGAAAATGTGCAGTACTGATGTCTGAGTGCTGGCTCTGTTCCATATTAAATAATCTGCTAAAGTCGTTATGGTCTTTGATGCTGAATACGATATTAAACCTTTTGTGGGGAAAGTATTTTTTAAGAAAAATTATCTAAAACATATAAAAATAGCTCTTTTAATTTTAAAAGGTTAGGAATAGTTCTAGTCTTTGAGGGAAGCTTATAACAACATTTCAGGGCCATTTATGACTCAAGTAGTAATAACATACAGGAAGATAATTCTAAATCTGACTAGTCTCTGGTCCTCAGTGATCTCCCTCTCCTATCAGTTGTCTCAGTAGGCACAATCCTCATTACTTGTCTCCAGCACTTAAATAAAGAGAAATTCTGTGTAAGAATCATCACGGACAAGGTTAGGAACAGAGTAACTGGTGCACAGTGGAGCGATACCTCAACAGTCAATGAAACAGGAGCACAACTAGTGATTAGGGAACATGTCTGGACCTGGGGATTCATCTCCCCTGACTTCAACATCTTAAGTCGTTCAGGTCTAACTTTCACATGTACACAACTATGTTTTTTTTTCTCTAAAAATGTAACAGAAATCATAACCATAGGCATGTTATAGGGGGAATATTCTAAGGATTGGAGACAGCCAGATATTGTTGGGATATAAACAGCAGAAAGACTTTATTTAGAACTTTTCCTGATAGTTTTATCATAAAGAATATGTGTCTAGATATATGTCCTGAATAATCCTAGAAACAACATTTGTACAAACGTCCCTTGTCAAATCTCATGTGCTTGCATTATACAAGAAACAGTGTTCTTTAGAGCCATGTTATGTACATACTATAGCAATTTATATTACTCTCTCATCTGATAGAATTTCTGTGTGCTTCCCAACCACATGTATAAATCATCAAGGAAATGTGAAGTCCTTTGAGGCAGAAACATCAGGGATTTGGTGGATAACTGAAGATTTAACTACCCTTATGAAGTTTCCTGGATATGAATCAATATTCTACACTCCAGCAATTCATGTTTCTTTCACTTTGCCAAACAAATGATTTCAGAATTTTGGCCAGCATCTAGTGCAATTTGGATGAGGAATGTTAATCTAAAATTGCTGATCTTTCTAAATATTCTTTATTTCCTCCTGCAGGTGTGTGGTTCCGTTATTTTGGGAGTCTCTATATGGATACGTGTCAGCAAAGATGCTCAGCAGGTAAATGTATGCAGTCATACCAGAACCATGTAAAATGTGGAAGTTACTGCCTACACTTTCCTTTCCCTTCTTCATTTCCACAGATTTGCTATGTTTTTGTTGAAGTGGTTTGTGTGGGTAAAGATTCATGGGTTTTATGATATTTAACATTAAACAAGATGGTGCAGGTAGTCAGATAAAGTGACTGATGTAAGCACAGACATGTGACTACAAGTGGCTTCTAGTGTTATTAATGTAGATTCTTGCAGATGCACACTGATTTATATTGGAAAATATGTGTCTCTCTCTCCTCTAATGAAAACTTACATTGGTTTTGTTATCAATTCCAGTATTAGAATAATGAGGACCCATGCGACTCCTAGGCTTTTCAATGTCTTTCCCTATTAGAATGATATAGGCATGTATATTCCTTTGGTTACTTCCATATGCTTGTAGGGAACTTTTTAACCTTTCTCACTATCTTCAATAACACAGTTCTGATTTCCTCAGTAACTGCAACTTTGAAAGGGAGTCAGGATTTTTCCCTTCTATTTTCAGTGGCTCCTTAAAAACACCTTATCCTTTTTCCCTCATATTTATACAGAAAGAGTTTTAGAGACCCAAAAATCTCCACTTAGGATTAAAATGTCCTGACAGCCTCCCTGGGAGGGAGAAAAAAGTCCCTGAATTCCCCTCCTGGATTTTATCTGGGTTATTTAAACTGCTTCAGACTTTATGACTTTCATTTTCTGCAAAGCTAGGGAAATACAATTTTGAGGAGCCCTTGATCTTGCAGACATGCAGCAGAGGCTGGTCTTGTTGGTGCAAAGGCCCTTTGGCTCTGCAGACTCTGACAGACTCTTGCCAAGCGTGATCCACAGTGGCACTGGCCTCTGACTCGCAGCATGCTTTCCGTCACCCTTGAGTGAAGCTGATTTCACAGCTTGTAGATGCTTCTCTGAAAGGTGCTGCCCAATCTTTGTATGTGGGTGCTTTGTTATACTAACAGAAAGAATAATCTGACTCTAAGATTTAGGCAGTATATTGCTTCTTGTGAACTTGGGACATAGAAATGTAAATGAATTTGAAAATTTAATTTGTATGCTTATTTCCAAAAAGGCTCTCTAGCCATAGAAGTGAAAAAATAGCCAGATGTAACATGGAAGCATTTTTTCCAGCTTTCAGATTGCAGTATAGATTAAGTTGCAAATTTTCAGTTCACCCCTGAAATAAAAAGATGGTGGAGATAAGGACACAGCTTTCTATACTTCCTGACATTTGGCTAATGACACTGTTGCCCTTAGCCAGTCCCAGATGTCTCATGTCTGGCAGAGGATGGATGCAACAGAACTGAGTTCATGATGACGTTGTGCCATAGGTTATGGTGGAGAGCTCTACCATTCTCTGATGTGGAAGAGTGACAGCTTTGACTCCTCAACCAACATTTTAGAAGAAGCTAAAATTGCCATACTTGCTAGTTGACCGTCTCTAGTATGATGGCTCAGATGGTACAATAGAGCTTGGAAAACCATAACTGCTATTATCCTTTCTTAATTTTGAGTGATTTCTTATTCAGAAATGCATACTCAAGTACGTCTCAAACTGGTTTCCTGAAGTGACACTTAGTACTCCTCAAAAACTGTGAATTAAGAGTAGGGATCAAAATGGAAAGCATTTTATGACATTTTTGCCTCTATAAAGGCAAAGTCCCCATTCAAAACCAATGTATGTTTTGCCTGAGTAATAATTGAACAGACCGTATGGATTTGGCTGTAGATGAATAGAGTTTTCTAAGAATAAATAACAGGAGGTTCAGTCCAACTTGGAAGGGGAAAGAACAACACATTCTTCAAATTAGACTTGTCTATATACCTTTGCAATTTCCATCAGAAGATAAATGTGACAACTTCCAGACATTTTTCCTAATCTTGGCACCAGCCACATTGGAAAATATTCTTTGAACATTTTTCTCTATTTTGGCCTTTGGCCTTTGTCAGTACTGTGGGAACTGAATAATTTGATATTTAGCAACATTTAAGTATATGAAAATACTCATCAAAATACTGTCCTCATCTCTGAGGGTGATATTAGAGATAATGTCTAAAGAAAAAGCAAAAGATAAAAAGAAAAAGAAAGAAAAGGGAAAAAATGGAAAAGGAAAAAGAAATGAAAGCTGCTTTGGAAAATACACCTAACTATCTCTTTAACATATCCAGCATTTCTCTTAGAAGTGTTCTCTCAGTAACAGTCACAGAGTATGTTCCTGGTTTTCTAATGACAAACGGAGGTTTTGTTTCTTTAACATTTGGTTAATGTAGGAGAGATTTCAAGATAACCAATTTTGCTACTTCCAGTAAAAAGCAAAGATTCATTGACTGAAAACTAGCTGAAAGCCACTTTAAAGACAAGAGATATTTATTTATTCTGTATAGTTGACTTCCACCTTGCGTAGAGACAAAGACTGTGAACTGCCAGATTCTACCGAGTTCCCCAGTAAAACGTTTAAGAAGGAGGCACTAGAAGTTTGTTTATTTATGGATCAGAATTTCTCCATGGTTGCTAATCAGTATATTTATCAGTTATGAAATAACCCTCTTGTTTTGGGTGATACAGATGTTTTTAGGAGGAGCTTCTTGTAGCTGAAGGATTTTTTTCCCCTCTCTTTTCAGGACTTGGAGATAGACAGCAGCCTGTTTGCAGGGGCTAATCTGCTGATAGCTGTGGGCTCCATCATCATGGTCCTTGGGTTTCTGGGGTGCTGTGGTGCCATAAAGGAGAGCCGGTGTATGCTACTGTTGGTAGGAAATAAAAACATTTGGATACTATAACAGGCCACAGCTACATTTGACAGATTAGATCTTTGCAAGTGGTGTATAATGAGGATGGGGGCCTTTCTGTTTAACCAAAGGCTTGATTATAATCATGTGCTTTCCTTGCTTACCTTGTGCTTGAGCCTCTTCTGAATTCTAGTGCAGAAAAAATGATGGGTGGTCACATCAACAAGAAGATAATGTCCAGAGAGCCCTGAGCATGTCACTAGCTTTTTTTCCATGCGGCCATCACAGTTCCCTCCATCAGTCCTCCCCCACTACCTATCCCATTTAATTTCACAAACTCCCTGTTGCTCCCTTTGCTGGTCCTCCTAGAACGTCCTCCCTGTCCTCCTGCCCAACACCTCTCACCTACACACTGCCCATCATGCCACTACTCTGGTCTGTATCTTGTTTTGATCACCAGCTGAGCACACTCTGTCTTGACCACCCCTTTTCTCGTCACCAAAGAAGGAAAAACTGGACCAGTTCTGACTAGAACTTCAGTTCATTCTACTTACATGGTTATTCAAGCACATGAAAGCTTAACTTTCACTTAGAAGAAATTACATCATCTTGGTCAAAAGTACTATAGTTTTCTCCCCCTTTTGTTTTCTTCCTAGTTTTTTATTGGACTGCTTCTGATCCTGATCCTTCAGATCACAGCAGGTATTTTAGGAGCAGTGTACAAATCTCAGGTACAGTATTATTCTGTATTTTCATTATTGTCTTCCCAGAATTTTGTTTCTACCCCAAAACCTAATACAATATTTGGATTTGCAGGCTGAAAAATCCCTTAAAGAGGCTCTCCAGGCAGCTGTGAGTTCATTGCAAAGCTCTACAGAACAAGCTAAAGTGTTTCAAGAGAAATTCCAGAAGTTTGAGAGAGAGGTAATCGAAATGAAGCAAAGGGTGGAAGTTGCTCCTATCTGTTCCATCTCCAGCATTTGTCTGTGCTTCATTTTACGGCTGCTCCACCATAGATCTGAATTTCATTCACTGAGGACGGGGAAAGGTCTGGCTTAAATGCAAGTTAAAACATTACACAAGGGGCTTCTGCTCTCTCAATATGACATGGACTTTCTGCGATTTCTTTGTGCAATAGTGTTTGTAAGAGCAACGGAGCAAGGACACACAACATGCAAGCGGGACTGGCAGCTAAGCTCTTTCATGCAGCTTTCCCTTCTGACAGGACATTGCTCCTTCACTTGTATCCCGGCTAAGAATTATCCAGTATGCTTAAGGCAAGATTACTCCAGGGATAAGGGAAAATTCAGGAGTGCATTTCGTTTGGAATATCCTATTGCTACAAGCTCATTAAATGCCATACTTTACTGTGTAAGAAGGGGGAAAGAAAATATGATAAAGGGAGGTTTGTTTTCACTATACTTATAGCTATCCTGGGTTTCCTCACCTGCAGGACCCCAGAAGGTGGACACTTAGTGCCAGCTTGCTCCTGGATATCACACCGAGGTTACCCTTGAATCTCACTGATACTGTTGATGGTGTAGACTCCTGCCCCTCCCACTAGTACCTGTGTCTGTACATTGACAGAGTGCCTGCTGTTATTTTTTTTTTTTTAGTCCCTAATGGGTGATGATTTTGATGGGTAGGATTAAAGAATTTCTGTATTTTTAAAGGCTGCTGGTGTGAAAGAAAAGGAAGCAAGAGACAATATTTGGGTGGCTTATATTACTTCCACTTCTTCCTCATTCCACCTCCAGGCCTGTCCTCTGCTTCTGAGCCAGCTTATTTCTTCTGATATAATAAGCAGGTCCCTGGAGAGATGATTGAAGGGTGAGCAAAATGAAAAATCCCATAATTACTGTATTAATTTTTAAATAGAGCAGGATTGTTTCATTGTATCCCACGGCCTTTGCTTTTATACAAAATTATGCGAACATTTCCAGCTGGCTTTTAAAAGAGGGAAGACCTCAAACCCAAGTCTGCACCCCTGAGCTTTAGTGGCTTGAATAAAGTGGAACGTGAAGTGAAACTACACCTGGTTTAGGTTTCACAAACCCCAAATGGAGCCCTGGCCTCCTCAGTCCCTTTCTAATTTAAAGGGCTAACCATCATTCAGGGTGGTTATTTTTCTAGATTTCGGAGTTTTATGTGCCGGAATTTTACATTTTCAGCCTGGCTTTTCAAGAACTGGGAAATGTGGATGTTACCGGAGCTGTTACGTACTTTCTGCAAGTATAACCTGCAGAAATAAGACCTGATTCTCAAAAAATGCTATACCCAACATTGTTCCATGCTCCAGTTCAATTCTGGAGCTGACAATTACTAGCTATACAGTTTGTTAATGTTTTTTGAGCACCGTATACTGAAAATCTGGTCTTTTTCCTTTTTTATTTTTCTTATTTTTTTAAACTTGTGCGCTTAGATTCTTATAACTCGTATGGAAATGTAAAGGGTATTTGAGACATACCTATTTGAGAAAACTTCCAAGTGGGAAAAGATGAAAGGAAATTTCTCATTCGTTTTTCCTCTCAGCTCCCTCCCCTACACTCCTTGAACTGCAAATTGTCACTTTTTTCCTCATCTTCCCGTTTCCTTCTTTCTTGCAGAACAAGTGCTGTGGTTTGCTGAATGGACCTGAAGACTGGGGAAAAAATTTTAATACTGGTAGCAATAAAGTCTGTGAGTGTGAAGTAAATAGCCGATCAACAGACCTCTGCAGGGTCTATCGAAGCAGATCCGTTTATAAAACGGTAAGAAAAACACGATGTTCCACTCTTTTTTCCAAAAAAATGTTTTTAACCCGATGTTGTCTTTGGTGACTGGCAGTCAGCAGTTCTGTATCTTTCCAAAAAGGCAAAGTTTTTCCTTCTCTTCATTACCCAGTGTTGCCACTGTGCCATCTGTCGTAAAGTTCCTGTGCATACATGAAATACTCTGCTGCTTCTTCTTCCTGGGATGCCCCAATCTTGGCTGTGCGATGCAGTACCCTTAGGACCTCAGCAGTTTGCATGATTACTATGGGTGAAAACTAGAATGCCTTTGGGGCCAGTGCATACTTTTGAGTCAAGGCACCATGTCAGCTACCTTTTGGCTCTCAGTCCTCCCCTAGACGGTTATGTTCCCACCCAGGCTCATTCTGGTGGTAGACATGTTGACTCAGAGGCTTTTGAAGGACTAAAGGATATTGAAAAATGAACACATTAAATGCAAGACGTTCGGGGTTTTATAGTCCTTTAATAAAAAAACCCCACACTCATTTTGCAGGATCTTCTGGCAAGAAACCTTACATGTTGTAGGCTTCATGGCAACATACTTGAAGTGTAATTTCCTAAAACTACAGCCTTTTGAAAAGCTTGTAGCAGTTAATATAACAATAAGGCAAAAGTGCCTGGTGACAGGCAACAAGAAAGCATGCTCAAAAATTGGTAGGTGGGCAGCAGACATCTCAATTAATTAATTACAAGATTTATCTGTCTCCTTATATGGAAATTTAGACTCCATGCAAACAAAGCAAAATATGAAAAAAAAAAAAAACAAAACGGAAAACTAGCTCAAAATAGCTGCATTTTTAGAATACTGGAAGTACAAAGTTTGTCAATCTGCACCCAGTGCAAAGCAGATTTTAGCAAATGTCCAAATCTGGTTGTATACTTTTCTAAATGCATAGCTCCTTAGATAGGTCCTGCCTGAACCCTAATTTCATCCCTATGTAGTCCCACAGAAGCAAATACTCTTTTAAAGCAAGGGAACAGTCTGGTTAAGATGCCAGAACCCAATCTGGAAATAAGATGTATACAAAGAGGCTGTTTTGGCCACATTTTAATGTCTTTTTGGCCTCAGGCAAACTCTCAAAGGACACATGAGAAGCCATCAGTGAAATTACTGCAGGTGCAAGATATCGCTCACATGAACACAGAGATTTCATGGTGATGTTAGATGTTAGTAAGACATTCAACTCTTCTGATCCAGGAAAAACGATTGGAAATTCAGTGCAGTTCTAAATCAGCTTAAGTGAGAGGTTTTTAGAAGGACTGGAAGGAGAAGACCCATGTGTTTATTGTAAGGGAGGAAATATGGTGAAGGAATATAACTACACATTCATTTGGGGGCAAGGCAGTTGTAGTGTTGGAACAGTACTGTAGTTTTGATGGATTTAAGCTGTTCTTGGCTTTCCCTAAAGGAGTATTGTCAACGCCTGCAGAAGATGTAGTCATTATAAGAACAGGCGCATGCATTTATTAAAAACGAGAGTAGCTCTGCATAGAACCTCAGATATGATCACTCTTTTACTCCCAGTCCCAGCCCAAGACCAACAAGCATTTGTAAAAAGTAATATTTAAGCTAGGCTTTATATCCAAATATTGATAGTTCATCCCGATTCTAATAACAGGTTTTGAGGTTTCAAATCCAAAGATCAGATTAGTGGAAAACTGAAGTTCTCTGTCAGATCTGGTCATTGCTGCATTGGCTCCTTCCTAGCAGCTAACAATTATCAAGTGAAAGTAAGAATAAATGCTTCTTTCCTTGTCAACGGAAAATCAATGCAACAGTAGGCATTATAGCTATAGTTTTGTTCGAAATTGTATCCTTTTATAGCCAGCTACGAAATTCATCTTCGTATTTGGGAAGGCAAAGACTGGATATCTTCCTCTGAGCACAAGCTCTGTATAGCAGTGTTCTTTGTGTTTGTTAGCAACAAGCCAGAGTAAATTCAAATAGCCTTTCTTTAACATAGAGGGAGAGAGAGAGAGAGAGGAGTTATTTCAGAGGACGCATTCCGAATAACCTTAGGATAATATTGCTTACTTATAATTAATCATTTTGTCTTATTTTTCAGCCTTGTGGAGATGTGATTCTTGAATACATTAAAGACCATCTGCTTATAGTTGTGGGGATTGCCTTTGGACTGGCCGTTATTGAGGTATCAGTATACGCCATTAAAATATTTAGTAGCTGACAAGCAATATGTTCTACTTAGAAATACACTGGGAATGGGATTAAAACACCTGGCTTGCTCAATTAATAGACAAGGGAAAACCACCTCTCACCTTAGCTATAATCTTACTGTTATTTCATATAAACAATATACGACCGCCGAGCTGTGAACTTCAGGTGGGGTCAGACCACCCTGCTGCCTGTGTAGGTGTCTCACGTGGCACGTTTTCTGGAAACATTTGACAGTGCTGGAGGCAGGTTGTGCCTTGACGGTGAGCTCTGTGGACAGAGGGGTGTGCGGATACCCAGCCCCAGGAAGACACGAGGCAGAATAGCTGCTCTTTTCCTCCTCTTTCTCTCTTTGCTTCAGGAAAAAGTCATCTCATAAGAAAACTTAGCCCCTGAACTGCATGTTCTTATCACAGAGAAATTATGATCCAAAATTATTATGCTAAGGGCATAATTTAGTCATCAAGATGAAGCGTGAATGTGCCTGAGTGCACACCTGTGCTGCTCCGTGTATTCCTGTGTGTAAAAAAAGCAGAGTATGTGAGCTCTTTATTTTAATTGCTTCATCATACGCTGAAGAATAACATGCAAAACTTCCTGTGAAGAAAGGAGGAAAACCAGTGAGGTTATCCAGTCAGCTACTTGATGAATAATAGGCTTTGATTAGGAGAAAATGACAAAGAAACAGGGGATTTCATCATGTTGCTTTCTTCGGTCATTTTCTTTCTTTTCACTATTCCTCTGTGGTTTCCCTCCTCCCTCACCCCCCGCCAATGCATGTTTGAGGGAAAAGCAGAAATGACAAAGATTGCTGTGCAGAGTTCAGTCTGTTATTCTGAGTGAAAACTTCTTAACATCATTGGCAGAGGATTGCTCCTCGTGGTAGAAGAGTGGGCAAAAGCCCCAACTCAAAAATATATTTCCAGGAAAATAATAGTAAGCAGGGGAGAGTTACGCAGCTGCAGCAGTGGGAGAGGACAGGCCACTAACTTCTTACTCGGCACAGGCTTCATGTTATTTAAGGTGTTACATGTGGGGGGTCAGGTCTCTCACCTATATGTAGACTTTGGGGGGAAAATAGGTGAAATACACCAATATCAAAAGGCCTTTAAAAATATAATAGAAGTGTAAAATTGCATCTGTGTTCCAAAGGTAAGTTATAAGTCACTTTGCTCTAGTTACTGCAGTTACATGAGTTGTAGCCTTTAGTTCGTTGGCCATCATTCTTCCCTGTTCTCCAGTTGGCATTTTCTGTGGTGGTTGCCTCTCCCAGTCATAAAAGGATTAGAAAACAACGTGAATAAACAATATGAGACTCAGCTGGTACAAATTGTCAGCTGGCAATTTACGCTTGACAAACTTTTGGCCTTTCCAAAGACATTAACATATTATGATTTCTCGAGTAATTGCAAATCAAAGGCCACACGCTTTGCCATCTCTCTGCTCTAGAAAACTCCAGATAAAAAGTGAACAAGGAAAAGCACTCTTCCCTAACATTCCCCCCTCTGCCTGCTCCATTATGCCACTTGTGGACTGTTAATAGTCTCAGCTCACCCTGTTAGTGGAAATTATACTGAGAAGAAGGGCCCATTTTCACTTGGGTGCAAGTGAAAGTGCAGCATGGTATGTCAGGGAAGCCTTGTTGGCTTATTCAAGTTGTGAGTCCATCCTCTTGTCTTAGCTGTACCCCTGTGTTCTGTATGCTCTCCTCTGTCTCTTCCTTAAATAAATGAAGCATCCTCGTGTAGATGGCTTCATAAGCGTCAGTTGAATACTTCCCTCTTCTATGAAACTCCTTCACAGGCTGATGATTTTAAATCCAGAAGAAACTTTCTGATCTCTCCAGCTGTCTGTCACAGGCTGTGGAATTTCACCCAGTAATTCCCACTACAGAAAATTAAACTACTGAATTTTATGTTTCAAGCAACAGCTTCTTTAGTGAACTCAGTGTTTCTATCCCAAAGCCATTACTCATGAATACAAAATATTTGTTGCACAATCATTTGCCACTCAAAACGATGGGGTATGTGTATTCACATATATGCTTTTACACATATCTTTACAAAAAAAGTGTGTGACAGTGGAAAGGAAGAGAGATTTCAAAGGGAAAAAAACCCTTAAAATATTCAATGAAATCAGAAAGTTCCTCCAACTTTCTTAGAAAATAAAAGATTGAAATTTTGTCCGAATTCTTTGAACTTCTCAGTATTTCATAGAATCATAGAACAGTTTGGATTGGAAGGGACCTTAAAGATGACCAAGTTCCAATCGCCTGCCATGGGCAGAGACATCTTCAACTAGATCAGATTGCTTAAAGCTTCATCCAACCTGGCATGAAACATTTCTAGGGATGGAGCATCAACAACTTCTCTGGGCAACCTGTTCCAGTGTCTCACTACCCTCAGAGGGAAGAATTTCTTCCTTAGATCTAATCAGAATCTACCCTCTTTCAGTTTGAAGCCTTGTCCTATCACTATATGCCCTTGTAAAAGTCCCTCTCCAGCTTTCTTGTAGGTCCCCTTTAGGTACAGAAAGGCTGCTAGAAGGTCTCCCCGGAGCCATCTTCATGGCCCTCCTCTGGGCCCACTTCAACAAGTCTATGTCTTTTTTTGTGCTGGGTGCCCCAGAGTTGAATGCAGTATTCCAGGTGGGGTCTCATGAGAGCAGAGTAGAGGGGCAGAATCACCTCTCTCGATCTGCTGGCCACACTCCTTTTGATGCAGCCCAGGATACGGTTGGCTTTCTGGGCTGCCAGCGCACATTGCCAGCTCATGTTGGGCTTCTCATCAGCCAACATCCCCAAGTCCTTTTCCTCAGAGCTGCTCTCGAAATTTACTGCTCTGTTGCAACTAACAACTGCTTTTTAAACCCCCAGAGTTACAGGGTTCCCTATCCGCAGAGGCAATCTAACTTTTAAACAAATGGAAGTTTTACATCCTGTCTGCAGTCTTACCTGAATCAGTACATACTGATTTCATTAAAATGGCTATATTCTAGAGTCATGTTCTTTAAGAACATGAAAAGATCCTCCCTATAGCAGATTTAGCCTGCATGTAAATCCAAGACATTTGCAAACAAAATGTTCCCACTGTGTATTGATTGTATCCTGGGATTTCCAGGACTGCCAAGTAATACCAGAAATGTCTTTGTTTTCCAGATTATTGGTTTGGGGTTTTCTATGAGCCTCTACTGCCAGATCCAGAGAAAATGAAACTGTGGAAGTGTCAGAACGATGTCACCAGCCAAATCCAAACCTTTGTAGATAGAGGGGTATTTGACTTGGCACATTCAGATAAACATATGTGTATCCTAGGCAGCTGTTCTGATGAAAACGGCAGCCCTTGTGCACGTGGATGCTTCACAATTTGCAAAATGACCTTCTTATACTTCCTAAGCTTTAATGATGTGAATGTGAATTTTTATTTGCAATAAATGTCTTTGTTTATGTTTCTGAGGAGCTTATTTTGTCTGAAGATTGTGTTTAAGTCATGTTGAGATTCCGAGTTCACCACGCAGCCTGTCCACATGGGTGTTACGCCACCCGTAGCAGAGTCACCATAAACAGCTGCAAACGATCTTGTGGTGGCTGACCAATCCGGGGAATCACATGCCTCCATGCAGATTTGCTTGTGGGACAGGGCGTTTTCATTATGAGTGTCGCAGGTCAGTTTGACACTCAATAGGGTATATATGGTCAGGGGTTTTTACTTGTGAGAAGCATAGGGACTAACTTCCATCCAAATAAGAAAGCCACGTTTCCCTTCAGGGACGTTTAAATCAATATCCTGGCAACTGAGATGGTCACTCTCAGGCCCAAATGATGCTTATATTGCATACGGGAGTTGTGTTTAGTGGCACATGTTTTGCAAATATGCATGGAGGGTGAAATCCAAGCCCGTGTGGAGGGAAGACATACGCAGAAGTCATGCGATGAGATTTCACCCAGAGCGGCTAAGATGAGCAGTGGGCTCCCAGCAGCGGGTGGACAACGGAGGGCACGGCTGGTAATGCAGCGGCAGCGATATAGACATATCTGCCTTTGGATTGACCAGTGCTCGCAAGTATTGGAGTCTCGAGGCGCTGACAGCCCTGACTGTCCCTGCCTAGTGCAAGTATTGGAGTTTTGAGGCACTGACAGCCCTGACTGTCCCTGCCCAGTCCTCCCGGGCTCCCCCCATCCTGCCCACGGCCCAAGACCTCACGTTACCTGTTCCACCAGTTCCCCACAGCCCTGCCCTACTTGGCCGTGGGGTCCCACTGAGCTAGGCCCATCCATGGTCCCATGTCCCCATTCACCCGTCCCCATCCTCAGGAAGGTGCCTGATGCTCAAGGCAGGGGCTGCCAACAAGCCCCTCTGCTCGCCCCCTGTCCCCTTGGGCTGCCCTCCCCTGCCTGCCACTCCAAGGGAGTCTGCGTGGTCCTGGCCACCAGAGAACTGCTGGCCCAGGGGGCTCCCTAGCAGAAAGTAAAAGGTACCAGGGAGCATATTTTTGAAAGGTATGAAAATGTCTAATGATGCCCATAGCGATCTGAGGTTTTCCACAACGTGCTGGTGGCCTCACTGCTGTGTGCTGGGTGCCAGCTGTTTTCACTGGTCCTGTTGTGTCCCCTCTTCATCTTTAGGAGCAGCTTTAAACACCTTCAAACGGTTACTTTTAAGAGAAAACCATGCACCATGCTTTTCTACTTCGACACCCCTGACGTGCTCACAACTGTCTCAAACCACACCTAGACTGCTCCCATCTTGACAGAGCAATGTAACTGTTTATATAAATACATTAAAAACTTTTATTGAGCAGAGACCTTTGCCCATGCCTTATACGGACAAGATTGGATTCAGGTAAAATTCATCTGCAGCAACCGCTTTCTTTTAAAACATATCCAGAGGAAGAGTTTCTGTTTCATCCCCCACCCTTTCCCTAGTACTCAGACCATCAGGCCAAGCAGTGAGAGCTGCTTTCAGAAATTCTTTTGTCTCCCAGGAAAGTCATCTAGCTACCAGACAGTTCTGGCACTCGCTCTTTCCTTTGCTGAACCTCAGAAACCGTGCCAGAAGAATTCAAACTTTGTTGGACCAGAGAAAAATCATGACTCCATAATCCAGTCGTACTCACTGGGAGGAGAGATGCTGACTTCTCATTCCTCCTTCTCCCCAGACTGTTTTTTGCTGTGCATAGTTTACCTGTGATTTTAAAACCTGGGAGCTGAGCCTGAAAAAACAAATCATGGGATGGCAGCTGGACCCTTGGATTATAACTACAGAAAAAAAAAGGGAGTAGAAGGGCAAAAAGCAGAGAGAATTGCATCTTCCTCTTCCTCCTCCTCCTTCCTATGAGAAGTAATGTTGTCCTCTTTGAACAAAAGACCAGAGGATCTCCCATAGAGAGGGGGCTCAGAGCTGTGGATGCCTAATTAATGGATGTGAAAGGGAAATTACACCTCACCCTTGCTACCAGGAGTAGTTAGCTTCAGGCAGCTGTAGACTTGAGTATTACTGCTATGGTTTTGTGATAAGCATTGACATGAGATTGGCACAATATATGCTGGCTTGAACACTGGTCTGGTCCTGTATCCTAGTCTCGGGGGAGGCAGATGTATAAAAGCAAGGTGTTAATGCATCTAAATTTTGGTTGTCTACAGCCTGGTTTTAATTATAGCCCTCAAAATATCCTCCTCTTGCATCAAGATAATGGTGTATGATACATCAGACTTTTTGTTAAATCTGTGGTGCCATTAAAATCAACAGAAGATGTTGTCTTCAGTGAGGAACTTTGACATAAGAGTTTAATCTGGAGCTAAGGTGAATAGTTCCTCTGTTTATTTAGGCAATTTGTCTTTATTTCCTAACACTCTAAGGAACAAAATTGAAGTACTATGATTGTATGCTACCATGACTGTTTAAGTGGGATTGAAACAATGAAGTCATTCAGAATATTACCAACTTGCCTCTGAAGTGAGTTTGCCTCTAAAACATGCCCATTGCCTTCAGTGTTGCAAAACTTACTTGTAATGTTCTGTAGCCTCCTGAAGTTTTCTCCTCCTTTTTTTTTTTTATGGAAAAAGCAAAATATCAAGCATAAAACAAAGAGAAATCCATCTGGATGAGATTCATCTGGTCATATGGAGAATTCTACAGAGTAGAAATTCATATCATAAAATCACAGAATCACAGAATGGTTTGGGTTGGAACCTTCAAAGATCATCTAGTCCAACTCCTCTACAGTATTTGAACTACCTGTTTGGACTCCCCTTATAATCAAGGAAGAGAGATAAGCACATCGAGGATTTGAGCCATCTCATTCCAAAATAGATGTCCAAAGAGGTCAGGTGAGTAATTAGTATTGCAGATAAGTGAAGTTGAAGTGAATGAATCACACCCTACAATACTGAGCTTGTTAAAATCCATAGAAAAAGTGGTCAGTCAGGAAAGAGCATTAGCATCATATTCCATGAGGGTGCATTGATTATTCATTGATTCATTGACCTTTTTGCTCAGTCATAATCCAGCCTACTAGGAAATAAACCCTGCTTACTCTCTGGGCTGGTAGGATAAGATTCATCTGCTGTGCAGAAACGTCTCTCTCAGAGCCACGATGCTGTAACAGAGATCCCAGAACCACTGCTTCATGGAGTCCTCTTGATATTCCTTTCAGAGAACATTTTCAGTTAGCAATTGACTCAAATAACAATGGTAAATTTTTCTGAGCCCACATCCACTTTTTAATCATGATGTCTGGAATTGCTGAAATGGAATTTGACAATAAATCCTCGACAGAACAATAAAACCATAAGAGTTTTCTTTTGTGGGGTGTTGGGGAAGGTTAGTTTTGTTTTTTCACAACAATCTCGTCCAAGGTTATGTTCCTCTCAATGTTACCCAATAAAATCAAGCATACAGAGGAAAGACACATGGCCAAGACCTTAGTGCTTTGGAACAGCAAAGGGAGAAAAAGCATATATCATTATAATCTTAAGTAGTATAAGAAAAGAGTAGTAGGAAGAAAGACAATGCATCCCTGCCTTTGCTAGGGGAGCTGAATCCCAACTTAAATCCAAGTCTGCTTAACACAAACTGGTGATTTATCATGTCAAAGCCAAAAACTCTTTAATGGCAACTGATAACACGTCTCACCTGGATCGAACTATCTCCAAAGAACGATTTGTTACATCATTTAAGGGATTTCAGGGGAACATGTTGTTCTCAGAAGGGATTGCATTTGGAGGAAAAATACAGCATGAATAGAAAAAGAAGTTATAGTTTATGGTAAAATATGAGTCAGTAAAGCAATGTCAGGAATGTCATAAACAATGAAGTGAGTGTTAATAAGTCTGTATTGGAAACAAAAACCAACGAAGAACAAGATAGATGCAGATAGATGAAAAAGAAATCTGGTACTGAAAAATGAAAGAAGAATGAAGCAAAATAGGACAGGTTAATTGGAAAGAAAAAGCATAAAAATATTGAGCTTATCAAGATCCAAGAGTTTGCTGCACTCAGCTCAGCGTGAGGGGAATTTGGCCCCGATCCATCTTAGCGTCCTACCTGTCATGTTGAAAGTCAGTTCAACCTGTTCTTAATGCAACGCCAAACCTGCCCCAAATTTGGCTGGCTGTCATGGCCTCTAAGAAGCCAGTGGCACAGCTGGGACTCATCAGAGCAGAGCTGGTAGCCAAAGGGTACCCCAAGAGACAACTCTGCTAGTTGTACGGCCCCTGGGGATGCCTGGAGAATGAGCCTGAGGAGCTGGAATCACTGGTTTTCCCTCTGGGAAGCACACCAGGGCATTGCAGATCTGGCCCAAGTATGGTCTAGAGACATGACTAAGTGAGGCAGTAGGGTTTATTTTTAAGTTAAGATGAAGGTTTATCAGTTTAAATTCTGAAAAAGGATTGAAACCACAAAATCAAAACCCAGTTCTTCGGCTTTGCTGTAAGATCTGTCCTAACTGCATAGCCAAAGGTTTTCTGGCATGGGAGAAACTCAGCTGATTTAGGCTGGATTCTTGAATCCTGATTTAGGCTCTCCTCAATTAAGGGGATATTTGACTTTAAGTTGTTTGGGTCAGCCAGTTATGAATACCGAATTTTGCTCTGGGCCAGAACCAAAACCTCTCCCTGCAAAGGTTCAGGCTGTGGAATCTGCCTGAATGTGTCTCTACAGGAGGGAACCAGACTGTGTCCATCTGGGGAAATGCTACATTAGGACTTCA